TAGATAAGGATACCTTGCTCTATGTCAGAGAAGGTAATTTCTTCTGGCGAGGCTCTAAACAAGCAATAACCGATGTGTCATTCCATGGCACAAGGGTGCGTTGTTTGTTATGACATTTCTGTGGTTTACAACAAAACGATCCGCGTGTCAGTTGTGAAAAACGGCTACCTTCTTCCCGTTCCCAATAGTGCGTTCAAAACTGAAGCGCACCCACATTAGCAATTATGAAGTTACGGCTAGAGTTCGGTACAGGAACGGCGGGTATCCCTTTTACCTCGAACTTTGGTTGATTGTCTTCACAAGAAAGATTTTCAGAACAAGCTCTCTTCTCCGGAGTCTGTGATGGCGATCCGAATTTCTACTAACTCTATTAAATTCAGGTTTTACCCGAGAACATAAATTTCGAGCACCTCGTTGGTGAAAAAATTCGCTGTGAAAGATGGCATGGTCCATATCCAAATGAATACTGCGCTACCTCTCTGATTAATGCTCTACCGCAAGAAATTGAAGTAATGCATAGAAAATTTTACCTAGCTGCGTTCCGGGGAGACTAATTTCACTCTTTTGTAGAAGGGTTCTCGCGGTTTCTAGTTGTAATATCGGCAATGTGTTTCTGTCTCCATTTTTATTCACTTCTTTGTAGATGTGATTTCCCTATTAGCTTTTCAGGGAAAGATCATCGGTATATCTGGGGAAGTTGGAAGTGGCAAATCAACGCTGCTGCTGGGTAAGTGACTGTTGCATTGTATGATATCTGAACAGGACAGGAAGCAGTGATTTGGCGGAAGCGTTATAATTATAACTGCAGTTTTCTAAAGGAAAACATGAATTTCGAAACAGTCGCATGTTAACCTGCTTCATTTGATAAATCAGTTTAGAACCTCTAACCACTGCGCATGCTTTTTCATGCTGGCTTTGCCAGTCTGCTTGCAGTGGCTTCCTAATGTCCGTCTTGAAAAACGGTTGATTAGTTGTAATAAATTATGATTTTTAGGACTTCTCGGTGAAACCAAGTCACTAACGGAATGTATTGGGATCACGCAGGACAGTGTTGCGAACGGAATTGGATACGTTGGTCAAGAAAGATGGCTGTATCGAGGTGATTCAAGTCATTAGTAACAGAATGGGGGTGCGTTGCGTGACTGCGTTGAGCCGTGAGCTTCTGCTGTGTGAGGTTTTACTGGTGTGTTTTACATGAAGATTTTCAGGCTCCGTTTCGCGAGAATATAACTGCAGGCAAGGATTTCGACCCTAAACTATACGATACCATTCTGAAAATTACTTGTCTTCAACGTGATATCAATGTGAGTATGGAGTGGATTTTGTTAGCTGTTTTTGATATTGTTGTTTTCAGTTAATGCCTGGAGGCGATCTTTATGAGATTTCGGACAATGGAGCAACTTTGAGTGGTGGACAGCGAACTCGAGTGGCTTTAGCTAGAGCGCTTTATCAGGTTTTTTTTTGTAGATACGAATTTAGGGTTCATTTGTTTGAACTAAGAGCAATCGCTGCGGAATGTTCGATTCTAGAGCTTGCCTTTTATGAATGGCTCAACTGAAATCACAATTAGTTACTTTCCAGGATAATTCCATGTACTTACTTGATGAACCGCTGGCGTCACTAGACCGAGGCGTGGCGGATTCTATTTGGGTTGAGGCAATCGAAAAGAGACTTAGAGATCGTGGATGTCTTGTCATTGTAGCAACACATGATCGAAGAGTTTTAGCCAGAACTGATGAGGTCATTGTGCTAGGAACTGACGGGAAAGTTGTGAAAAAGGGTTGGTCAATTGCTGGTTTTCTCCATTAGTTTTTTATTCGAAGGGTCAAATAAAATACTGATTAGTTTATATGATTATAGGAACGCCTTCTGAAGTTATTGGCAGCGACATTGAAGTGTTTGGAGAGGATGAAAGCGACAACGGCTGCGAATTAGAACTTGAGCGCATCGTACTCCAGGAAGAGGAGAGACAGGTGAGTTAAACGTCTTTTGCGGGATATGGCACGCATTCTACCTCCATTCATACATTCGTAGTGGCACTTAAATGCAATTGAGCCCAGTGACTTGCGATGTACAACTCAGTGTTTTTCATCCCAGACAAGTCTGGTACCAATTAACCGACCCCGGAGGGATGGAAGGCTTGGTTGGCCCGGGCGACTCACGACCCAGGATTTGATCCCCGGACCGCTCGCGTGGTAGCAGCGCCACCACAACACCAACTCTGCCCCTTTACTTATATACAGTACCTTTTTTCACAGTCCTCCTTGTGTTTCAGGCTAGGTTTCAGTGAGCGGATGGAAACAAGTCCAAATGGTCATCATATCCTCGGATGGTACATGAAGTTCTGAGTGAATGCTCTTGCTTCTCATGAAATCCATGGAAGGATTATTGTGTGTTTAGCTGAGGCTGCGCGAAGGCAGACGCTTGTCGCGCTTAAATATCTACTCCTGGGCAAGTGCACCAGCTACAAAGATGGAATTGGGGAACATTTTCTATACGATTCCTCTCCGTCCACTTTCAGACCCTGGTTACCCTGCGGGACGATATTTCTTACTAGTCATATCTAGAGATATAATACATAATAGATCGATCACCAGTAGGAAAAACAAGATCTTAAGGTGTTTACCTGGTAACGCATCCAGTTATTTTCAACAACGTAAGCCGGTTGCATGGCGCATCTTAAATGGCAATTGATTCTATTGTTCATCAAATAACATCTAGATTGGGACCGTCAAAGCATCTGTTGCTCACACGTACATGCTAGCTACAGGATGTGCCCTGACTGTATTAATTCTGATCGCCCTGTGTCTGATGCAGTTTTCGAAGAATGCTGCAGATTGGTGGTTGAGTCGGTGGACTGCGGACCAGGCAAATTTCACTCAGTAAGAACGTACCACATTCACGCAATGATCTACCTGGGAGAATCAACTCGTTTCAGCTTGCTTACCGATAGTCAGCAGGATCGCTCGATCCATTTCCTCATCATCTATGGAGCGATAGCTACAGCGAACACGATATTCACACTTATACGAGCATTTTTGTTTGCTTACGGCGGTATCAGAGCTGCTAAACATCTTCATGAAAGTCTGCTCCATAAACTGCTTCAAGGTATCGTTTGTTGGAGTCTCTTGAGAAATATTGCAGTCTAGTGGTTTGGTCGTTCAGGCGTCATCGTCATGGTGGGACCGTACACCATCGGGAAGAGTTATCAACCGGATTTGTTCCGACATCTACACATGTGACGACAATTTACCATTCCAAGTAGGATTTGATATGAGATGTCGCTCTTGTAGTAAGATAGTGCACACTTTATGTGAATCTAGCCTGGGTCGCGCTCAAAGCAGTACATGCGACTCAACTGGCTGATTGGCAGTATATTTCTGGCGCTATAGAACAACTCTCACTTTCTTGTGGCAAATTATATATTTTTATAGCTGAACATTCTACTTGCGTCTCTGTTCAACCTCATTGGTACGTTGGTAATAACGGTTATGGGTCTGCCACTTCTGTTACCAGTGATTGTAATGTTATTGACTGTGTACTACTTCATACAGAAGTATTACCGGTAAGTATTGCTATAGCGACGGTGAATGAATACTCTCATTTATTTTGAAGGCGTACGAACCTAGCCGATCATTTGCAAAGAGCTCTTCAGGCTGGTGCAATTACTTAATGATTGTAGACGAATATACTACCCATACTACCCTAATTCGCAATGGGTTTTATATCATGTTTTGATATTTTCAGATTAACTACAGTCGAATTGAAGCGTCTCACATCTCTGAGTCTCTCTCCGTTCTATTCACATTTGGGAGATACTGTAAATGGATTGGCAACTATCAGGGCACAACGATTCGTAGAAAGGTACCTTACCCAAGCCATTTTTCCTTCACTGAGTGAGCTATTGATCAAGCAATAGAGATGTGCTCTCTTTGACTAGAGTGGCTGTAGTCTCTTGTCACTCAAAATCGCTCAATACGTGAAGCGCTTTTTCTGAGGGCTTTCACGGGGCACGTGGGTGGAGGATGTGTAGTAACTCCGCTAACCACGCGCACGGTGAGGAACTTGCACCGCGATCGTCCTGATCTGGTCAACCATCTCTTACATCCCTACGGGATTGGTTATTTGATAACAGGCTCGACAAGGAGGATAAAAATGCTGCTCTCCGTTTTTCTCCACACATCCTTACCCTGATTCTCTAGTGGCGTTTTGAATGCATAAAATAGGTCTACGCAACTAGACAGGATTGTATAGCAACAAGACGTATGAACTCTAAGGCTCGACAATGTATCCTTCAGTGGGTCGTTATTCAATATATTCGTCGCTGACATGCATGCTTTCGTTAGGATGCCTACACCTTCCTCTCGAAGTATCCAGTGTTTTATGCATTCACACCGCCACTAGACGAATCAGTGAAGAATCAAATCCCCCCACTATGCTCCACTTATGATCATCGTTTATTAAGATTCGGAAAGAAGTTACGTGAACGTCCTCACAGTGAACATGCGAGCGCAGTTCTCATCTATTGCCGCTGGCCAATGGCTGTCCATCCGACTGTCAATTATAGCCGTCAGCATTGTGCAGCAATTGCTGTGTCCGTCTGTAATACAGCACAGATCCCGTGGAGTTTGACTCAAGTTCATGGTTTCTACAAAATGAATATACAGTAGCGCTGCCGCAATACCATTTGCGCTCCTGTTAGCTGTTTGTTCCCTTTCTAAGAGATCTCTTCAGGCTCGTTGCAATTGGCAATAACGTACCGTTACCATAACTGGGCTCCTGAATGGATTACTGGGCTCGTTCATCGAAACCGAAAAGGAAATGGTGTCCGTTGAGAGAATAGAGGACTATCTCACGAATGTGGAAATGGAGGATGATAGGGGTGAAGCAGAGGTATATTTCAAGCATTCCGCATATCCAGTCATTTTCGTACTCGTCCGCTCATATGAGTGTTGCCAATGCTTAACTACTGTTTACTACTACTCCATTTTCTTCTTTTCGAATGATACTACGTAATAGGATATATCTACTACATTTTCAGGTCGCTTTCGATTTCGCTGGCCGTATTCAATTCGACCAGGTTTCGTTGCGCTACAACAGCTACTTACCCCAGCGCTGGATAATATACATAACCTCATCATAACCAGGAGAGAAGTTGCAATTGTGGGAGACGGCAGCGCGGCAAAAGCAGTTTATTTCCAGTAACTTCCGACTTCACTTTCCATTTTTGGCTTCATTGGTCCATTGGAGACTACGATTTCGAAGTCTGTTACTGCAGCTCTACTCCATTTTGTTGGCTCTCAGGGTTAAATGTTAATTGTACACATAAATAGCTCCTTATTGGTTAGGCCCTCCTTCGGATGATACCGATAGAGTCTGGCAAAATAACGCTCGATGGAGTGTCCATTTCTTCGATTCCTCTGCCTGTATTGCGACGTGCATTTGGTGTGGTGCCGCAACATCCATTCATATTCAGGTATGCGTGAAACTTAATCCGTTAGCTAGTGATTTAAGGTCTTTAGTTCTAAGTTTAAAAAGGGGACACGTTCTGTGCCGAACTGAAATTGCACTGACTAAGTTTTTTCAGCGGGTCTCTCTATGAAAATCTGATAGTCGGCTGCGAGCACGTCGACCAAAGTCAAGTTGCCAATATCGCTCGTGTGGCACATCTTGGTTAGTTAAAACGAAGTATTCCACCTTGTTTGCTACGTGCTTCTATAGAACTTTTCCACATGTGCCCAATTACCTAAAAATCGTCTAGATACACTAATGACCCGAATTGGTGGTCTTGATGGTCAAATTGACGAAGGCGGCAAGAATCTCTCGTTCGGAGAACGGCAGATAATTTCAATTTGTCGGGTGCTGCTAGCAAAATGCAAGGTGAGTAGTTCTTAAAGATGTCAAATAAATTGAGTGCAATATAATTGAGACATGATGTTCTTTCTTTCCTGTTTCTGTCCTCTCTTCCTGGAGTCAAAGCTTACAAGGGCTTGAAAATACACGTGTTTTTACACCTTTTTTCCTCTTGGGCGGTACTTCGATCGAGTTTTCTAGAACTTATACCGATTTTCTATCTCGTAATAAACTTGCAGTCCCAATATTTCTAATTGATTTAATCATAGTGGGTGCTTTGTTTGGCCACGTTCCGCAATAGAATATTTGTAGATTGTGCACTCAAAAAGGTATTGGCTGTAGTGTTTCGTCCAGTTGTGAAGAGAGGTCGAAGATGAAATGACATTACGCTCTAATCATACTTGCAGAATCAGTGCTCACGCCTCAAGGGGCTCCCATTGGTCAGCATACCCTTTGATATGGTTGAATACGGTAACATATTGAGGAAGTGGAGCCAACCAATGAGATTGTCTTAGGCGCTGACTCTGCTAATACCGTCAACGTGCTATATGATTTTAGGAATGGCAGTTTTCTTGTCCCGCGGCGACATCACGTAAAAACACCTCTGGTGCAGTGCACTTGCGTACATCTAGAGACAACCGTAACTTGCCCATAGGGGTAATTCGATATGCTGATTACGAAAACGACATTCATTTTTAGCGGTGGCGCCATCTGGCGCCAGTTGGCGTCACCTTGTCACGACCCTTGTTTTCACCAAAATCGGTGTAAACTTCTGTATAGGGGTTATTTGGTGCCCTGATTACGAATATGACATTCGTTTTTGGCGTTAACGTTGTTCAACGCATATTTCTCGGTTGGAGAGCGCAGACGAGCAGAAAATAGGCGCCAAATAGCGCCAGCGCCGAGAATGAATGTCATATTCGTAATCAGGACACCAAATAACCCTATACGGAAGTTTACACCAAATTTGGTGAAAACAGGTGTCGTGACAAGGTGACGCCAACTGGCGCCACCGCTAAAAATGAAAGTCATTTTCGTAATCAGGGCATCGAATTACCTCTATAGGCAAATTTACGGTAGTTTCTAAGGTGTACAAAGTTACACTGCACGAGCGGAGGTGTTTTTACGTGAAATCGGCGCGGGCTTATCTACCGGAAATTAGGGGACTTTCATTTTTGGACACACTAACGCTAGCCTATTGAGTCGCAAAAGATGCCTTTAATGTTGTGCTCCAATGGACTAGATTGTCCAAAGTTCGAAAGGAGCTGCCCGAGACCCGAGTCCACACTTGGAAACTTTTGCTTAGATTTATGTAAAGTTGCCTTTGCTCTACTTTGCTTCAGGTGGAGCATCAAAATTCTTCAGTACCCTAGAATTGCTAGTACACACTAGCATGGTAGTAAGACTCTTTTTGTCATGCGGGTCTGTTTTGGGGCAGATGTGTTTATAAGGCACAATTTTTTTCTTCTGTAAGGGTGGGGTCAGGTTTGGAGAATTGCAGCGGTGTAGAGGTGTAGCGGATGTAAGCGCAGGGCATTATGTGCCGCCAGAGAACTAATTTCGGGAAGCTACGGTGTGGCGTTGCATAGCAGCTTCATGTTCCAACACCTACACTCAGCCAGCGCGGAAACTTTCATGCTAATTTGGACAGTTTCTGCTCGTTCGGATCTGATATATCTGTTCTGTAAGTGATTGAGTGCCACTCTCCGTAACCAAAATGAACATAATCTTATTGCTTCAAACCGTGTTTATTAATTATTCAAACTTTGCTAATTAAAAGTTCTGTGACACAACAGGTGGTACTGATCGATGAGGCAACATCACATCTGGACGCAGCAGTCCATCGTCGAATGATGTCGTTGATTTCCGTTCACTTACCAATGGCCACAGTAATATGTATCACTCATGTCCTTCACGGACTATCGGATTTTGATACGGTAATAGAAATGGCAAACGGGAAAGTCTTCCGTCAAGGACCTCCGACGGAGCCGATTTCGCATGAAATTCGTTCGTAGTTCGGATACTTTTTGCTTGATTTTGCTAAGCTTCATGTTTTCGTGAAGTTTTCAACGACCATGACTTTTTGATGTACCTGAATTTTTTCTAAATAACCCTTTTTGTGCTGATAGTTTTTTTAATATATCAGTTTTTCCGAAACCTAATTGCTTGTAATTTTCTAAGTAACTAAATCTATGAACTGATGCTACTTTTTCTGGTTTGACCTAGTCAAGTCTCTTCTGTTTTTGAGAATAAGTTACCAATGATTTTACGCAATTTTTGAATGTTTTTTTTCAAATTTTCAAATTGGAAAGTAGTACTAGGTTAGCGTACATATATTCTCTAATTTTGTATGACTTTTGTGTTCCTTTCTGGTGTATTTGTGATAGAAACTCAACGTGGCTTGCGAGTATTTATGTGCTTTTGGAGGAACATTTGATGTTGTGAGCGTGTTCGGGTATTTCACACCACTTTGTTAATCTTACCATTTTGTGCTGATGTAAATAAAAAACTGAGATCGACCACTCAGAGTATATTTCAGTTATGAAATCTGTTAGAATAAGGTGTACTGGGTGGCGCAAACTGCTGAAGCTATGAGTAGCCGTCCACTATCCCATCAAGCCAGCTTCAAAGGGGTTTTGCCACCGTTATTGCAGGAAGTGAACCGTTCGGTCTGGGAGCCTTTCAGGAATGTTGTCAATGGAGTCCGAAAGTCGCAAAGCAGCCCAGCAATAGAATCTTTCCAGGCTTCTACAAGGGATCGAGACTAGTTGAAAAACCGCCGCCTTGCACGCCACGGTAGATGCTTTCCCCGAGTAACTCAAAGTAATAATTCCAGATCGAATTCGCGAGGTAAAACGGTCGATAACGAGATTGTGGGAGGGCATTTATGATTTTGACTGCAAATGAAAAAGAAACATAACTTAGACGAGGGGGGCTCTGAACAAGGATCTCCTTCTTCTAGCGAAACCAGGAGGCGTGGGCCGAAACAGCTGTCCGAACTAGCTTGCCCGCGGCATTCATTGCTGACCTCCTTGCGATGCGAAGAGTGAAGAAGCAATACAGCGATAATTAAACGATTTGAGCAATTAAAGCCAAACAAGGAGCAGGTGGCATTCCTTGAAATGCGGTACAGCTTGCACGCAATCGCGCAAGGACTTCGCACGGCCACGCAATCTCTCGCTAGCAAGTGGGCGGGGAAATGGAATAGGCGGAAGAATGGTTGGCGCCATATCAATTCCTTTCTGGTTTTCCAAGGGAGCTTAATGTTCAGTGACACTTCTTATGTTCTTAACTAGGGCTCGCGCATCTTTTTCACTCCACTAGTAGCAAAAGTTGAACATGCTGGGATTGTTGCTTCAAAACAGGGTTTCACGAAAAGGACGAAAGTCGAAAAAAAGGGGAAAATCTGCCTAGTAGCAAAACAGGCAGACCTTCTGACGGTGCGGACCGATACCCAATTTGCATCGAAGGATATGCTCATCGCAAAATTCACCTTTAACCCTTACAACTGGTGGAGGTAAATCTGAAATTAAATGTTGAATATTATTCCTCACTTAAAAAATCATTGCAGTTGTACCAGTCACCGTTCGAATTGATTCCGCTCCGTAGGTAGTAGAAATGCAACAGCTCAGTATGTGCCATGCACTCGATTTTCATTCAGATTCGTGGACGATGTAGAGTATCTAAGAACGTAAATGAAGAATAAACTACAGAACATCCATGAAATCATTCGGTATGTTTCAAGCGCTTGGCCTCCATTTGGAAACATGAATTCGAACGCATATGGTCCCAGAATGACTACTTGGACTACGGAGTCATCAGATGACGTGGTGGCGGCGCTGTACGGAACTGCCTTGTTGGCCATTGAATTCCATATGTTTATACTTTCCTTTTCAATTCACTCCTTCACGGAAAACATTGCTGGCATGTCCGTAAAATTGTTCCTCAAGATGCGAGGGAATTCACAAACATCGCATTGTCAGGATCTCGTCTAATTTGTGCTTAATCTTAGGGTACAACGTTTTTCTACGAGATCTACAGGCCTCCAAAAACCCATGCATAGCAATTATCTCGGCTATTTTTAGCTAGGGAACGGGAATCTGGTGATAGTGTGTAGTACTGTCACTGTCACGCATACGGTCCGTGGACTGGATCAGTGATGCCCAGGCCAACCAAGCCTTCCGCCTTCACAAATCGGCAATTTGGTTTTGGACTAACCTGAGGGTATAAGACACTGATTTGTTTTGCTCGCTACTAGCATGTGACTGGGCTTCGCGTGCCCGATGGCGCAAGGCCTTCCCCGTCCTTTCTGTTTCGTTTTCTGGCCTTGTATAACTGACTGATTAACTGTTATCCTACTTGTCGCGTCTGAACTTCGGAAAGGTGGAACTCTCGGGTAAGTAAACGACATTCTATTTTTATTTTCCCGAAGTTTCTTCTACTAAATCGGTGTATTCCCTTCGTTTCCCCGACTCGCGTAGCACCCAAGAGAATAAGAAAGATGGATGACGCATTTGGAGTTAATGCTCCGCGCACTTGACTTTTATATCCTGTTGAAGTAGTATAATCTTTACCTAGTTGGTTGGGGCGATTTTTTCGATTTGACCCCGAATCGCGTTCGTGATAAGGTGCCTCGGTTAGTGCAATTAGCTCTGTAACAAGCTATCCGATTGGTGTCACATTAGCTTTTAACAAGCTAAGGGAAAGGGATTGAAAAGAGCGAGAACGGACTGCGTTGTGACTGGGTTGGCTTCAGCATTGAAGTTGGATGAATATGGAGGAAACTGGAGGAAAACAGTGAGGAGAACAATGAGCTGTTTTAATTTTCCCCTGTAAATTTCTGTTCCGTTTTTGCGAATCGAATTGTTCGAGCGATATAATCAAATGTATTTATTTATTTATTTATTTGAATATAAAGAATAAATAAAACAAAGATAAGTAGTTCCTGCTTCACAGACCGACAAGGGTGGTAAGTGTTACACTTTTGAAGAGTGGACAGCAGGTGGGTCAGTTAATATATTTTAATATATTAACAGACTTTAAGAAAGCTTCTAATTTTCATTTCAGGCTCGACAAAGGCGCTAAGCGCCGAAAGCTCGCCAAAAAGGCCTAAACTTTTGCAAAACTTTTGCAAACACACATTTTTGCAATTTCTTTTGTAGAAAGTTTTGAGTCTTTTGCAATAAATTTTGAAGTCTCACATTGTTTAATACACATTAAATAAAATAAAAAAGCATAAAGAAAAATGTATCTAATAAAAACGGCAATGAATTTTAAAACACACGAGCCAACAAACTCTAAAATGTTAAGGTTAAATGGGTGCTAAATAGGTTGCGGGTGGCGGCAGGTGGCATGCGGCGGCCTCTATCAAACACATTGGCACTGAGCCTGACTCTAGAAGAAGGCTCAAATGTGCCAAAGTCAATCACAAATCATAATGTTCACAGCTTACCCACTCCTTCCTAGGCTCAGGCTTAGTCCCATCGCGCTTGAAAAACGGCGCCGCCGCGTGGTCCCCCCCCCATCCCCCGGCACAACTCACTTAGCATCCATTAATGGGAGCTTTACATGGTTCTGATTACGTTTTCTCTAATCGATGCATAGCCTTCACCTCATTTCCCAAAGCTCTTGAAGCTGAGGCTTTTTTTCTGGAGCTCAGGATTTCAGACGATGGAAAAAGAATATGGGTTAGTTCCATCACATTTTCTTCCATTTCTACACAAACATATGTACCTCGTATTCGTGTTTAATTTTTCTAATAATGATAGAATCGCGTGAAGATTCTGGGGATGAAATATTCGCAGGCCATAAAATGATACCTCGATGGGTTGCTTTAGCTGCCCTCATGGCAGGATTACGGTGTTTCTTTCCGAATGCACTGAGAAGTGCAATTCACGAAAATGGACAACCATTGCAGCCGTTTAAACATCTTGCCTCTAGTTTCTCCAAGTGTACTGCACACTAAGCGCACCGGTCGGTAATTAGATCCCATCCGCAAGACGTTGGAGTCTCTCTGGGATCCGAAGAGATTTCAATTTGCCACATGTGATTGGCTCTCAAATTATGTTCACAAGATTACCCTGAGTCGCACTATCTATCCAGGATGGCCGTTCAGAGTCGTATCCCTAGATGGATTCGCAGACCTCACGAAGACGTAATTCTTTACGTGTTCTCGTCTACTAGTGTTGCTGGCTCACGTAAATCTACTCTTATCTATCCCCAACGCTGTTCCTTCCTTTTTTCTATTTCTACGGCTTACTTGGCTTACTTTTTCTATTTCTACTTCTTACTTCTACTTACATAAAACAAAACATCTTCCTATTAAATTTATGATTCTGTTTGTAAGTTGTGTTCTGAATGCAGATAAAAGTTGTTACAACTACAAGCCGCGGTGCTCCGCTGCTGCGCCACGCACTCACTTCCAGTAAATTCCAGTGACTTTTTAACTAAGGAAGGTCATCAGGTCGGTCTGGCCATCAGCAAAGAGCGGTATGCCGTTGCACTCGCCTCGAGATGCTGTGCTCAAACTCAAGAGATATAAAGCAAGAAAGCGCAGCGGTAGTGCCCCGGTCTCGCAGGCAAGAGGTGGTGGGAACGGTTTTCAAGGAGCCTGCTTTTTGTTTTTCAATGTCAATGTGGCAGAAAAGCTTCTAAATTCGTTAATTTATCAACACTTGCCATTAGTTGCCTGTATCAAAGTTTTCGAGCAATTTCCACATCATCTTCACTACCGTCCTTGCTTTATAACTCCGTTCAAAAATCGTTTAGCAGATCGGGAAGACAGTTTTGAGCTCAGCGTTTCGAGGAGAGTGCAAGGGCCTCATTACAAATGGCCGGACCGGCCTAATGACCTTCCCTGGTAAGCAGCGGCGCTACAACTTGCAAGATGTGGCCGAGTCAAGCCTAGCCTAATTCTCCCGCAGCGACTTTCTGCTTAAAGACGGAAGGACTGATTTATTCGGAAAAGGATCGGACATAGAGAACCGTGTTTTTGCCATAAGAAGTTTGTAGACGCTGTTGTTTTCATTTTCAACTGCATGGCACTTGCCTAGGACCGTTTTCAAATATTTATAATATTAGGTCGGACAAAAAGTCTTCTTCGCTTTGCTCCACGAGTACTGACTCCTGCTGGCAGCTTCAGTCGTTGCTTGACCTTTATTGCAATAGAAAGGAACTTTTTTGGTAT